GGAAAATAGTCCAATCTAGGTTTACAAACAGGTTAATAATACTGAATACCTTAGTATTAAGTTTGTACAGGCAAAAAGATATTGCACATTTGAATATATAAATAATGTAAACTTATATAAAAATAAACGAAGTTAAACAAATGTAAGTTAAAAAGTAAATATTTCCAAGGTATATTTTACTAAAGAATGATTGCTTTGTCTTTTGGTGCTTTATAGTCTACGGTGCTTAGAATGCGTGAAATTAGAAAATCTCTCTCTGTCTTAACATTTTAACAGATTGTCTAAAAAAGTAATCTGTTAATAGTTAACAAACATCATTTCCCGACAACCCCAAACACTATTTAACAAATTTATAATATCGTGTTTAATTTTACACCCGTTTTTACTATTATTTCTAATTTATTTGTTTATCGTCAGTAAAATTTAAATTGACTAAAGTGCGTGTACTTTGAGAGTTGAGTGTAATGATTTAACGCTATATGCACTGTAGTTACCATAGAGTAACAAATTACATACATTGAAAAGTTTTATTTTAAAAGCGTGAAAGCTGTAAACTGTAAAAATTCAACTAAGTATAGTGTAACACAGGTACTCATAATTATTTGCATTCACGTAAAAGTTATTACATATTCAAGAACAACTTTCTACTGCGTAATCATATTTATTTGTCTATAATATTACACTAAAAAACCACTATTAACCATTATTAACCTCCTCAAAGTTATCCCTGTTCGCCGACGACACCTCTCTCTCAGTTTCTAGCTCCAATTTTCTAAATCTAGAACAAATTAGTTTTTTGGTTGCAAACGCTACAACTCAATGGTTTGGCGACAGTTTATTGAAAATCAACACAGACAAAACACAGCTCATTAACTTCCGCTTATCAAATCATTCAAACCGATCAAACAGTGGGTTTAGTTTCCTTCTGGACGAAACTGAGGTCCACCCTACACCAAATGTCAAGTTCCTTGGATTGATCTTAGACGAGAATCTTAGATTTCATGACCATATCAAATACATAAAAAAACTCAGTTCTGGTATTTTCGTTCTGCGTAACCTCAGGAACAATGAGAATCTGGAGATATTGTTGACGGCATACTATGGGCTAATTTATCCTCACTTAGCATACGCCGTTCCTATTTGGGGTTGCGAGTGCCAGCAGACTAAAATGTCGTTTAAACTCCAAAAAATAGCTGTGAGAACTGTTTTCTCGCTAAAAAGGCGTAAATCATGCCGTAAATATTTTTTAATTCAAAAATTTTGACATTCCCATCTATATACATTCTTGAATCTTTAACATTTGTGAAACAAGAATTTTATAAATTTGACTTTTCTGTAAAACACCAATACACATTGCGCAATTCACATACATTACCAATTCCTAAACATTCAACAACATTTTTCAAGAAGCACTTACTGTACAATGGGATAACACTTTTTAACTCACTTCCACTTCATCTTAAAATTGAACCAAACCTGCTAAAATTTAAAAAGCAATTAAAATCTTTGTTGATAAAGTTTACCTGTTACAGCGTCCAAGAATTAGTAAATAAAATCAGCTCGATGAATAGTGATGTAGTATATAGAACTGTATAGCTTTTAGTACTGCATAAGACCTCTGTAAGTAGTTGTAATGATGACTTAGCCAATACAAATTGTACAATATTTTGTTAATTCTGGCTTAATAAACGATTTGATTTGATTTGATTATCAAATCATTTATGATAAAGAATTACACAGCAATCATAATTATCGTAGAATTGAGTTGGATTTATGGAAACATCACTTATAATCCTACTCACATTCTGTTTGACGAGTTGATACCTTGGTTATCCGGACAGATGAGGTCTAATTCGGATTAACGCGACATGACAGAGGCTACATAATGGCGGCATTATAGTCAACAAGGCTAGTAGTCAACCCGCTCTACCGCTTATCCTGATAAATAATGATCATGGAAAGCGATTTTTGTATTTAGCTTAGTATATGAATCAGGTAACATATTTTAAGTTCTTGCTTTCACAATTGTAATTTTGTTAGCATTTTCTATAAGATAGTCTATCATTATTGGACACCACTTGTAATTTAAGAATAATTTGAAGAAATAATTCTTATCCTACGGCTGCATGGTAATGAGTTTTAGTAATTTATAGTATATTCCTATATTTAATTAGATTGTAGAATACAGATGAAAAAATTCTCGATTTTCCTGAGTAAGTTAAATATTATAATAAAAGACTGTAATATCATTTCATATTTATCAAGTATGTTTATTTTTATCACATTTAATAAATTAAGGGAAAATTAGAAAGATCGGGCTTAATAAAATAGTCTGAAAGAAATTTTACAGGAGATTTCAAAAAGTAATTTAAATAATTGAGTACAGTGTTAGAGTAAGACCTAAGGTTAGTGAGCATCGTCACAAATTGTTTCTCTCTCAGAAGAATTGGGTCAAGATACAATTACTAAGTTTCGCAAATTACATTAAAACTCCATCAGAAAAGAAGCTTTTTCTCGCAGTTGTAAGGTATAATTTAATTAGTTCTTTTGAGAACAAAACAGGGCTTTAACGTGGGAAGGTAATATAGATATTTGATCATAATACTCGCTTCTATTATTATAAATTAAATACAGTAATAAAAGACACAGTTATGAATGAGTGGAAAGTGAAATTTAAATTCTCAATAGTAAATATTATGTGTTTTGATCATGCAAGACCATTTATGATTTTTTTTCTGAGTGAAAGATAAAGGTGAATAAGTATTTAAGATGTACGTTTTAAAAAAGCTTAATTTATATTCGATTTATAATAAACTATATGTTTGACATATTAATATCTTTTGGTTAAAATTTATACTGTAGATTAAAACGAAAGCTGATTAATATAAGTTTTTTAATATTTATTTTTTCAAACCCATATATTTTATCATAATTAGTGAATATTACTTTAGCATATACCTATTGAAAATACATTATTAATTATTCATTAAACACATTGAAAAAATCTGCTATGTAATTCCCATTTTGAAATAATTAAGTTCATTGTCTAGTCATGATTGTAGAAAGGCAGTATCGGTAAGCGATTAGAGCTATTCAGTCTGTGGTACTGGTGCCATTATTGCCTTCCTCGCATTTCACGAGAATGCTTAGAATTATACAAATGATTTACTGGTTAAGGATGTGGAAATACTACTGTAGATTTATTATTTGAGTAATCACATTTGATAGAGAAAGAGTATACAGTAGTATTAAGTATATAAAGTAGTTTTTTTGTAAAGGATTTAAATTCAACTCACTCTCTTAGGAAAGTTTTGTTTTTAAAGTTTTAGTTTGCGAATTTAACAAAAAAACAAACTAATATACTTTATCCACACCCAGTAAGACAGTAGGCAGGTAAGACGTGTGTCAGGGGGTTGTCTCCAGGGGATGTTAAATAGACAGGTGAAATGTTATAACTACAGACTGAGCATCAACCGTCTCATTTTATCTAATGGGTTAAGGAATGATGAATTGTGGCCGTTGGATCTAGAAAATGGATTAAAATAAGCTTTTCGTTGCTCTTGAAACTTTCAGCTGTATGTTGTAGTCTGTAAAAGATAATGTATACAAAAACATATCCGAAAATAGCCAATAAACAAATTAAATCGAGTTCATAGAGTACTGTTGCCTATTTTTTTATTAAAAGAGAACATAATTGTGTAGGTCACAGAAAGCGCTAGTGTCTAACATTCTTTTTATACCTTTGTTGCTAACCAAGTTGATGGGTCATAACAGTTGCTATAGCCTGCAATAAGTCTTATTAACTTGAATTGTAAAAGACTTTGTATTCTACAGAAATTATTAATTTAGATCAGCACAATCTGTAGGTGGCTCACATCAACTACGTCGATTTTGATAAAAAAAAAACTGATATTTAACATGGGCCTAATATGTGTAGTTGTAACAATCGTCAAAGGTACTATTGCTTAATGTAAATATCCTATCATTTGCAACATTGACAGAATTGGATTGGATACATTAAGACCTCCAGAACTAAATGTAAACGTCAATAATGTAGAGTTATATTTACATTCTCAATTAATATATACACATACTCAATAAAATAGGCTGTAAATCTGGAGAAAAGGAACAAATTGCACTGAATCATACTCCGTTGAACACTGTTTCTAGGTTAAAAAACCATGTGACTCTATCCAAGCAAGCAGAAGTTTCGAAAGTTTCGTCTGCTACTAGATCTAGTGCCAGTGCTAAGATACCAACCGCCCCCACTAAAAGTATGACTAGTGTGAGTCGGCCTCGCGTGCAGACGCCCATTACACCGAAAAAGGTGGCCAGAGACCCTGCGAACAGGCAAGTCGAGGGAGTTGGAAACGGTGAGAAGAAGAAGTCGGAGGGAATTTCAGCTCTCCCGGTCTCTGCAAATACTACTGCCATACCTGTTTCTGTCGAAAATGATGAAGTCTGCTTGACGACGGATAACCTAAATGATCGACAACCTTCCGTGTTCGGGCAATTGAGTGATCTTCAAAGTGAAGATAATTAACTGTGTCTAATACTGTATCTTTTGCGGACAAGCTTAAAGGAATACCCTCAGCTGTAAAACCATCTGAAAGAAATGTGAGTACAAAATGTAAGTAAATCTACTGAGTTTGAGAAGGTAATAATAGGGACTACGCCTAGTGATAGTTCAGGGCTTAAGACCTCTCTGTCGACTAAACTAACGGCAAAATCGAACAAATCATGGCTCTTCTTGTCTAGAATCTCAGTGGAAGAAAATGCTGATAGTGTTCTAAGCTTTTTGCGTGGGCAGGGTGTAGCGGATGCTGACTGTTATGAACTCAAAACCAAATACAGTTCATATAGGTCTTTCAAAATAGGCCTACATTCTGACCAGTTAAATCACGTCCTGAGCCCTGTTTTTTGGCCATCTGGTGCACTGATTCGAAACTTCACATTAAAATCTGTAGGCCTACCCAAGCAGTCAAACCCTTTTTTAGGGCATGCGAGGCCGCAAAGAAACCAGAGGTAGGTTCTGTCCAACAGGGCCATGTTAGGGTTGACAACACGTATAAGATTGGCCAATGGAATGCACAGAGTATCAGATCAAAGCAAGCCCTACTGTCTATCCTTATCGAAGAAGAAATGATTGACGTGTTGTGTTTATCTGAACACTTTCTTGTAGCGGACGAGGTTGATTTCTATAGGAGGCTATCAGACCTTAGGCTTGCTAAAATCTTTTGTAGAGCTAACTCAAGGTGCGGTGGGGTGGTCATTTATGCGAGGGAGACTCTGATTATTGAGGAGATTGATTTATCCTCCTTCTGTGTGGAAATTGATTTTGAAGTTGTTGCGGTAAATATTATGTGTTTAAATACTGTAGTTGTATCTCTGTACCACTCACCGAGCGGCAACTTCAAAAATTTTTGTAGGTTACTTGAGGGATGCTTGTCTTTCCTTACACGAAATCTTAAAACTAGACTCATCGTTGCTGGTGATTTTAATGTCAACTTTCTAGGAGATGAACCTAGAACAAAGACTGTCATTGGACTACTAAAATCCTTTGGTCTTTATACAACCTGCACTGAACCTACGAGAGGACCATCCTGTCTCGACAACATCGCCACCAACTTCACTGTGGATGAGAGAGGGACCAAAGTTGTGGACCCGGGTGGGAATGATCATGCAGCCCTGGTAATGTCCGTCAGTCAACCGAACAGTGAGGTGAGTCAATCTTTGCCCTCTTGGCACTCATCGTATGTTTGTAGAACTAGGCTAGGCATCTCAAATCCCCGCACCCTTGACTTTTTTAGGGACTCTTTATCGAGTGTACAATGGGGAAATGTGCTGTCAACCAGAGGCGAGATGTGTAGTTTTGAACGGTTTTTTGAGTTTTTTCGGGACATTTTTGGTGCTTTCTTTCCAGTTTCTGAGCGGAGTTTTAAGAATAAGACAAGAAGCCCAAAGCCCAAGGTTAAATATGGAGACTGATATACCCCTGAACTCAAGGATCTTAAGGAGTATATGCTTGCCCTTAAGGATAGATTTAGGGAAGATAATGAGGTCGCAACTTGGAGGATGTACTTAGCTCTTAAGAAACTGTACAAAGGAAGGGTGGAGCTAGCCAAGAAAGTTTATAATGCCAAGTGTATTGAGGAGGCCCCAAATAGGTGCAAGGCTGCCTGGGACCTTGTGAATATCCACCGTACAACACCCAAACGTGAGGTTGTTTTTGCCAGCCCGGACGACTTTAACAACTTTTTCTGCGATTCTGTGAGGGACATCGTTGATCGCCTGCCCCCATGCTTAATCGATCCGGTTGACATGTTGGCAGACAGAGTTCCGACTCAAGACAACCTGCGATTCAATACCTGGAGACTTACCACTCCTGAATCCATCAAGTCTATTGTAGGAAGCTTCAAACCCTCTACCAGCCAGGATGTCTATGGTATGTCCCCTAATCTCATCAAGACAATTATTGATGAAATTGCTGCTCCCTTGTCCTTTTGTATTAATGAATGTCTTGATATGGGGTTTTTTTCCGATAGCCAGAAGGTCTCGAAAACTGTTCCTGTGTTCAAGAAGGGGGAGATGACAAGCCTTTCAAGCTACAGGCCAATTTTTATAGTACCCGTTTTTGGTAAGGTGATGGAGGCGGTTATTAAACCCCAGGTGGAGAATTTCTTTGAGGGAAACAGACTGCTCACTGAAATGCAATTTGGTTTTCGCCGTGGAAAATCTACGGCTGCTGCTGTAGCTGCAGTGGCAGAACGAGTCAGTGCTGCTTTTGAAGACCATCGCTCTACTGCGCTTACTCTCTGCGATCTGAGCCGTGCCTTCGACACTGTGTCTCATGAGGTGCTCCTGAAGAAGCTCTCCTTCTACGGGCTGGACGGAGTCGTGCTATCTACCCTTCGATCCTACCTTCTAGATCGTACACAGCTTGTGACTTTGGCAGGTGCCTCCTCCTCTTGCAGAGCAGTAGAACATGGAGTTCCTCAGGGATCCATTCTGGGACCACTTTTATTCATAATTATGATGAATGACCTGGATGATGATGGCGGTACCCTCCTCTTTGCTGACGACACCACCCTCTTGTCATCCGGTTCAAATCTTCGGGAAATAAATGAAGATATGGAGCTTCGACTGCGGAACGCTTCAGCCTGGTTTGTAGCAAACCGTTTCCAGCTTAACCCCGACAAGACCCAGAGGATGGTCTGCAGTCTGGCTCATATTCCTCCTGTAGACCAGAACCAAGTGAAGCTTTTGGGGATTGTGTTGAACAATAAGTTATGTTGGGATCAGCACATCGACCAAACTATAAACAGACTCTCTCGTGTCTGCGCCCTTCTTCTGAAGCTGAGATCTTTTGTGACTGAGGACTACCTGAAAATGGTCTACTTTGCCTTGTTCCATTGCCACGTTACATATGGACTGCTTCTGTGGGGACATTCTCCAGGCACAGTGGAGATTCTCACGATGCAGAAAAGGGCCTTAAGAATCATCACCTTTAGTGACGGACGGGCTCATGGTAGGCCCCTTTTCAAGAGACTGGGAATACCTACTGTCTTTGGTCACTACATACTCCTGTGCCTTCTTCATGTTTGGGATAAACATAGAGACCTTACATCCCGTGCCATGGTCCATTCCTACAACACCAGGCAGAGAAACATGCTGGATGTTCCCCGTGTTAGGCTTTCTAAGACAGCTGCTACCTATCAAATTCAGGGTCTTAAGTTCTTCAACAAACTGCCGATGGCCGTTAGGGACTGGAAAAGAGGTTATCTTAAGGACAAGCTTATGTCGCTAATGAAAGAGAGAGCCTACTATAGCATCTCAGAGTTCATGACCGATAAGGAGATAGCAAACATACGGTAGCCATCTTTCCATCATCCCTGGAAGTTTTTCTTTTTTTAACTTGTATATATGTATATATATTGTTTTATATATTGAACTGTTGTTCACGTTGTGAAGAATTTTTTTTCTTTTGTGCGTGCATAAGAAATGTTTTATTTATTTTTGACGAGACGCAATCTATCCCTATTTTGGGTAAAAGATGAAGAAGGAGTAAGTAAGTAAGTAAGTACACAAGAGTTAAAGTATATACTTACCTAATTTATATATCATTAACAATGATTTTAATCCAGGGTGTTTAAGGATTACTCACTATTCTATATTTGTACTTTTACAAAATCTATGAAACATGTTTGTTCAGTATTTCGGTGAAAACTACATTCTAGTTTTAACGGATACTCTGTTTAAATCAGTAAAAGTTTTCAAACTGTAGTTTATTTCAAAGTACCTAGTCAAAAAATCTTTTTCAAACAATCGTTTTCTTTAGTATGATATAGGCCTACTCACCTAATTTAAAGCTATATTTTAAAAGCAACTAAATAATCATCACAAAATAGTACAGGTGTTACAAACAATAATTTGTTGCAATGCAACACGATCAACACCACAATACGTCATACACATGAGGCCTATGAGAGCCAGTGCTAATGAGACATTAACTAATTGATTACCTGATTAGGGATAACCTAATCGGCTTCATATACTACTGAGTGATTAGCAGCAGTCCTTGATTGACTGGTCATTTACGAATAACTGATTGAAATTCTCAGTTGAAACAAGTCCAACAGAATTTTCGGTGGGGAATTAGAAGGCTTTAAAATTTTAAATACGTTAATAAATAAGGAGTTAGTACGAGTTAGGCTTAGCCTAATGGATATAATATACAATTGTACACGTGGAATACATTTGTTAGTTTTTGCCTCATCTGAATGTATCAGAATGGAGAGAAAGTTACTTTACACACACTTGCTTACATGTTATTGTTATATTGCACTATAACGATATGTTTTGGTAGGAGAGTTAGATAGATATTGGGAACATGAAGACAAAAGAAATTAAACATATTACTACTATAATTCATAAGTCATTGAATCAAACCATTAGGTTGAGAGGATTAGCCTCAACGAATTGCATAATAAAATAATCCATATGTCAATTCAATAACTTGTACGAGTAAAAAAAAAAAAAAAAAAAACTTGTACGAGTATCTGTCCAACTTAACAGCTGTTTTAAGACTGGGGAATTTATTTTACCTGCGACCGTTTTCTTAAGTGGCCTTTTCAGTTCAGTTCTTATAGTAGTTTACGCACCGATTACGTAAAGATAATGTAAACGACACGAGTAGAAAATTACAGGTACGAACCTTGGCGGAGTGCCTTAACAACTTCTACGAGTGTCGGTAACACTATTTACCTACGACCGTTTTTTAAAGTAGCCATTTCAGTTCAGTTCTTAGAATTGAAAAGTTTCCCTTAACAGCTGTTTACTTTCATAACAGCATAGTTTCATTTCACAACAGCATACTTTTTCTCATAACAACACGGGTAACGGACCAATGAGATTCAAGGATTGAGAGAAAAAAAAGTAAAATTGTAATGCTTCGAACGTCAACTAATCAGCTAATCAGCTGATCAGTTGACAATTTTAATTGTTGGTCTGTCTTGTTCCTGTTGATACTCGCGTAATTTTAACCTAAGTTGGTGGTTAAAGGAAGGTAGATTAAACTGATTTAAAAATTTCAGTTTTAGTGAAAGTGATGTTGACGATATGAAAATGAGAGCACAAACTGTTTGTGCTAATCTTTTGCCACCAAAATCGAAACAAATGTATAAAAATACATACCAGCAATTCATTAAATGGACGAAACAAAATAAGGTTTGATTGATAAATGAAAATGTTCTTCTGGTTTATTTTGAAAACCTCTTGTTCCATTGTTTCACCCAACTCGTTGTGGACCACAAATTCGAATTTTAAGTAAGTAAGCGGACAGCTGATTTTGCGGCCCCGGCCTTTAAAAACCTGCTCGGTCCCCAAATTAAGATGACAGCTGGCATGGCCAGCAAAACGTAACTTTCAGCCACCAATTAACGTATGTAATAAAGCCAAAAAACATTATAGTGTGGTGAAAAAATCGTAACGTATTATTTAATGAAATTTTACAAACACGTAATTACATGAAATCAGCTGATTATACAATAAGTCGTTGCATCACTTTCAGTGGTAATGACAATCAACGAAAACATAACCTCTCTAAGAAGTTATGAGTAATGATTGTTACTAATTAAAAACCAGATTGTTAGTACTTAAAAAAAACTGTCGTAGGTAAAGTAGTGTACGCAACTCGCGTTAATAGTCTTTACGACACTCGTAGAAGTTATTAAGGCACTCGCCAAGGCTCGTGCCTTAAATTTTCTACTCTTGTCGTAAAGACTAACTTAACGCAATCGTTGCGTAAACTACTATTACGCGAGTTGCGTTCACTACTTTACCTATGTCATTTTACTTCTACACTCGTAGAAGATTTTGATTTAAATTTTCTACTCGTGTCGTAAAGACTAATTAACGCAATTGTTGCGTAAACTACTAATTAAATTTCCTACGTGCTCTATACAGCTTACCATCATTAAAATAAGATGCAGTACTGAAACCTAACCAGAATCCATCCCCGATTGTAGCTTGTCGCTGGGTGTTGACAGCTGTTGCTACTATAATCCTACAACATGTCGAACGTTCTACTCTTGCTGTTACCTTCAAGTTATGAATCGATAAAAGGGAATCGTGACCAACCTTGTAATTGAATTTCGTAAAACCACTAAGCTTGAGATCTGCAACAAAATATGCTACACGTTAGTCTGTTAAAGACATATATGATTATCGTATATCGTCGTATATGATCATCGTAGAATGTCAACAATCGCATACTTAATTTCACCTCTACACATATCCAGCAACACTGGACTGTACAAGTGTACATTATTGTTTCATCATTAATCATCGTCCCACTCAACATGTGACAAGTTAATACCCCGGTTATCCGAACAGACGAGCTCTAGTCCGGAGTAACGCGATATTATGTTACAGTTGGTTTATCGTTAGTTTCGGACAGAGGAAACACACAACTATAGATATAGGATATTGCAAAATATGTTATACTTTTATTTTAACCCTGGATAAAATTAATTTAAGTGGTATGTTTTATTTATATAATTACAACTGTTGGCTTCAAACACACCTAGTGGACGTTTTGTATACACGATTTTTTACTATCAATATTTTATTTCAGAACTGTACGTTCTTATAAGTACATTACGTCTTTGATCAAAATTACAGTAGTGAAATGAAATAATTTGCACATGCATTTTTATTTTATTTTTTTATAATACCTCAAATAGATTGTACACATCAATGAATCTGTGAGGGATCTGAATTACATTATACACAATAACAATTTACACAAACCTTAACGGTCTATTTAGTTTTGTATTGTTTATAAGAAAATACTCATCAATCATAAATGTGTATGTGACAGTAAGGAACTGTTAGTAGTCTTATCGAAGTTTTGTTTAATTTAAAACTAACACCTTGTGATAAAATATGAAATTCCTTATAATATTTCTGTAATAAAATTCGTTTGCAAAAGCTTTGTCAATTGCTATTTGCATCACTGTATCAAGAAACTTTTATGCTTTAATATTAAAAGAGTTTTGTTAATCAAAGATTTATTCAATGAAATATTTAACAGTATTAAAACATCCACAGCAAAACGAGAACTATTGTATTAGAGTTCCTTTCTTATAAATAACTTCCTTACCTCAACCCCAGCTATTTAAACGTAAAAATCGAGGTTAGGGGATGGTCAATAAATGATTAACTAAACCAGAAGATGGAATAATTAATTGAGATAATTATTGTATCTGTTTGCGTCAAATTAGACATGAACTGCATCGATTTAATTACTTTGACTTACTGATTTGGTTCACTATAATAAAAGTCCAGATTATTTCCCAATCAATCACAGCTTTCCTAGATTTTTCATAAGGTAAATATACTTGCCACAGTTTTAAATGTTGGTAGGAAAAATCAATAAAATAAAACGGTTAAAATGCCTGATTGCCACCTTGTGATCCAAGGGTTTGTAAGACATTTTCCAAGAAAACTAACAAGGCTTGAATCAGGCATTTTAACCTTTTTATTTAATTGCCACTCAATTTGGTCCGGATACACCACAAAAAAGGATGCAAAAATCAATTTAACCTTATTAATTGTTTATGCTACCTGTGTAGCTGATAGACAGAATCACCGATTCAGCGGAGTGAGGATAAAAAATCTGTTATTTTAATTGGTATGACTACCAATTACAAAATTTTACTTAAGTGTGATGAAACACAATAAATACCTTTTGTTCATTTTACTGATATGAAACTTCTTAACTTTGTCCATCCGCAACTCGCCATTGAAATGTGTAAGAGAGACTTCCAAGTTTGTCACGATTTCGTTGGTACAATCGTCACGCACTGGTCCAACGAAGCGAAAATTTATACTCTAGGAGAAAGTATACTCTTGCTCCAGTTGAAACGGTATGTATTTCATATGTAATGTTACTGTGATGAGTAAAGCATGTATGTAAAAGGTTTCATACCACATTTTATTTTTCGACACAATCTCGAATCTAAAATTTTTGAGTGTGTCAAACCTCACGCTAAAGATATGATATTCACTTTAAGTATCATACACAAATTAATACACAAAACATTTGGGTTTCCTAACCAATATGACAGACTACAGAAATATTTGTTTTATTTTAGTTTTAACTAATTATTTACTGTAAAAATATTTAAATGTTGTACAATGTGAAACAGTGATAAGTTCTATGTAACTTATTTCGCTACTGAAGCACAATGCACAAAAACAGTGTAATACGAATTCAATGAACCGCACCAGCCACGGCAGATTATTGTTCCAGCATCTGTTTCAAATGTTATAAAACCCTCCAATAAACTGCGTTACATTCAGATTTTAA